AAAAAAAAAAAAAAAAAAAAAAAAAAAAAAAAAAAAAAAAAAAAAAAAAAAAAAAAAAAAAAGAAAACAGAAAATCTTTGTGACCTTGAGGTAGGCAATGGTTTCTTGAATATGACACCAAAACCAAAACTTATGAAAGAAAAAGTATAAATTAAGACTTACTTCATCAGAATTAAAAATATTTACTCCTTAAAACGAACCGCTTGGCCAGGCATGGTGGCTTACGCATGTAATCCCAGCACTTTGGGAGGCTGAGGCAGGTGGATCACCTGAGATCAGGAGTTTGAGACAAGCCCGGGCAACATGGTAAAGCCCCATCTCTACTAAAATTACAAAACTTAGCCAGGTGTGGACTTATGCGCACACCTGTAGTGCCAGCTACTCAGGATGCCAAAGCATGAGAATCGCTTGAACCTGGGAGGCAGAGGCTGCAGTGAGGTGGGATTGCACCACGCACTCCAGACTAGATGACAGAGCAAGACCCTATCTCAAAATAATAATAATAATATAGCAAAAGAATAAAAAAGGGAGGCCGAGGCGGGTGGATCACAAGGTCAAGAGATCGAGACCATCCTGGTCAACATTGTGAAACCCCGTCTCTACTAAAAATACAAAAAATCAGCTGGGCATGGTGGTGCGTGCCTGTAATCCCAGCGACTCAGGAGGCTGAGGCAGGAGAATTGCCTGAACCCGGGAGGCGGAGGTTGCGGTGAGCCAAGATCGCGCCATTGCACTCCAGCCTGGGTAACAAGTGCGAAACTCCGTCTCAAAAAATAAATAAATAAATAAATAAATAAATAAACAAACAAACAAACAAACAAAAGGGACCACTGGCCGGGTGTAATGGCTCACACCTGTAATCCCAGCACTTTGGGAGGATCACTTGAGCCCAGGAGTTCAAGAACAGCCTGAGCAATGTGGTAAAACTCCACTTCTACAAAAAAAAAATTTTTTTAATTAGCTGAGTGTGGTGGTGCATGCCTGTAGTTGCAGCTACTTAGGAGGGTGAAGTGGGAGGACTACTTAGCCCCGGAGGCCAATGCTGCAGTGAGCTGTGATTGCACCACTGCACTCCAGCCAAGAGAGCAAGACTCTGTCTCAAAAAAAAAAGTCCCCATTAAGAAAAATGCAAAGACAAGCTACAAACTGGAAGAAAACAGTGCAAGTCATGTGATACTTGCATATCATTCACCTGATAATGGATTCATACCTCTTATATATAATGAATTACTGCATAACTCAGTAAAAACAATCTAAATATTTAAAAATAGGCAAACGATATGAACAGATACTTCACCAAAGCAGACAAATGAATGCCAAGTACACACAGGAAAAGATGCTGTACATCATTATTCACTAGGAAAATGTAAATCCAAACCATAACTGGATACCAGTGCATACCCATTAAAATTTCTAAAATGAAAACTGACTATACCAAGTATTGGTGGGAATGCGGAACAACCTGAATTCTCAGGCACTGCTAGTGGGAATGTAAAATGATACAGACACTTTGGGAAAGAGTTTCTTATACAACTAAGCACACACCTACCACATGAAGGTATCTACTAACCAAGAGAAATCAAAGTATATGTCCACACCAAGACTCGTACACTATTATCTATAACAGCTTTATTTGTAACAGCCAATAGCTGGAAAGAACCTGCAAACAATGAGTGAATGAATTGTGGTAATCCACAAAATGGAACACTATCCAGCAATTAAAAGGAATGAACACTTGCAACATACAACAAGGGGAATGATTTCAAAATAATGTTGAATTGAAGAAGCTAATCGAAAAACAATAGCAGGCAGGCAGATGGGTGGGTGGGCTGTCGGGTGGGTCTTCTTCCTTGCCCTCTTATGCCTATAATCCCAGCACTTTGGGAGGCTGAGGCTGGGTGAGAGAACGGCTCGGGCCCAGAAGTTTGAGACCAGCCTGAGCAACATAGTGAGGCCCCATCTCTATTTTTTATAAAAGAAATTTATATAGTTGGGCGTGGTGGCGGGCGCCTGTAATCCCAGCTACTCAGGCTGAGGCAGAAGAATTGCTTGAACCTAGGAGACAGAGGTTGTGGTAAGCAGAGATTGTACCATTGCACTCCAGCCTAGGCAGCAGGGAGAGACTCTGTCTCAGAAAAAAAAAATTATAAAAGAAAAACAGTAAAAAAGAAGAAGAACACAATGATTCAATTTATATGAAATTCTAGAAAATGCAGATTAATCTCTAGTGACAGAAGGATGACCAGCATTTTCTGCCCACGGGGTACAGAGGAGGAACAGAGTGGGAAGAGGATTCGGAGAGACCTGAGTACATTTTGGGGGAATAGCCATGACCATTTTCTTCACTGTAATGTTTCATAGGTGAAATACATAAAATATGCATAAATATACCAAAACTCATCCGACTGCACACTTTCAATATGTGTGGGTTTTTTGTGGATGTCAATTGTACCTTTACACACATCTGAAAAAAGAAATTAATGGAACAAAATAAAAGATCTGGAAACAAGCAAACAGATTAATACTGAGTGTAGAATAACGTGGCATTTCAAATTTGTAAGAAAAAAGATCATAAAAAACAGATAGGTTAGTTTGCTAGCCAATTTTAGAAAATTCCTTATGAATTTAAGATTAATATCTAAGAAACTAAACAATAAAACTAGATGAAAACAAACATTCATAGATTCCTGAAAATAAAATCAAATTCCTACAAACTGGAAAAGATGGATTACTGTGTCGCCATAGTAACAAGTAGCCATGAG